TCGCGGAGCCGCTGGAGCCAGGCAGCCTGGGGGGCTCGGACGCCCCTGACCCCTCCTACTTGGACATGGACTCGTACCCAGAGGCTGCCGCCGCTGCAGTGGCTGCTGGGGTCAAACCGAGCCAGACGTCTCCTGAGCTGCCCTCAGAGGGAGGGGCAGGCTCTGGGCTGCTCCTGCTGCCCCCTAGTGGTGGCGGTTTGCCCAGTGCCCAGTCACATCAGCAGGTCACCAGCCTGGCACCCACCACCAGGTGAGACTGGTTGATGGGCTGGGGGTGCACTCTGAACGTCTGCTCCTCCTCTGTGTCTGTTTCCCGTCTCTGGCTCTCCTGAGCCCTGGGGGAGTAGGGGGTTTGGGGTGTGGACTCCTGGATCCTGGGGATAAAGGAGGCTGGGGGCCCAGACTCCTGGGTCTGGGAGAGGAGGGGGAGGAGCCTAGAGTCCTTGGGCCTAAGGGAGAAGGGGGCTGGAGGTCTGCACTCCTGGAGCCAGAGGAAGAAGGAGGCTGGGGGCAGGACACCAGGGAAGTGGAAAGAATGAGGGTTAGGACACCCCCACACCCCCCACACCCCACCCCGCAAGACCCCGAGGCAAAAGGCAGTCCACAAGGCCTGAGTGCTGGAAACGCAGAGGTGGGTGAGCAGGCCGACAAGCCCTGCCCTCGTGCCATTCACAATCCAGGGGAAGTGGCCCCCAGTGGGCTGTCTTGGTCCGGTCTGGCCAGCCAGGCCAGCGCTGCAGTGAGGCAGCTCAGGAACTGCGGCTGTGATATATCTCGTTGATTGAATTGTGGATGTTGAACCATCCTTGCATCCCTGGGGTGGATCCCACTTGGTCGTGGTGGGATTAATGCAGGTTGAATCTGCTTTGCTAACTTTTGCATCTATGAACATCAAGGATATTGACCTGTAATTTTCTTCTTTTGACAAAAGGAAAGACGGGTTAGGGAGAAGGGCAGGTCAGGGTTGAGGGGTCTGGGCCCTGTGCAGCCCCAGGGGCCCATGGGAAAGTTATTCGGAGTCACCAGCTGGAGGTTCAGAGGAGGCTCCTGGAGGCTGCTGCCCAAGCAGGTCTGGGCTGGAGCCAGCTTCGAGAAGGGGTAACCCCGTCCCCAGCACGGATGGGGAAACAGGCCCAGAGAGTGCAAGTGGCTGGCTCCAGGTCACAGTGAGCAAAGGTGGGGGTTTGTGCCCCACCCCCCCAGCTGTGGGGTTTGGGGAGGAGGCAGGGAGGAGTCTCCCAGATCTTCAGATGCAAGATTCAGAGCCACCTTCCCACCCCCCTT